GGAGGCCGTCGTCACTTGTGGTGTATGGTCTGCACCCGACACTTTCTGGCTTTTTGAAGGGGAGGGTCTTATTCGTGACGGCGTCTTTTTCTGGATTCAACTGCGCGCGCTGGTTTTGTAGCTTCTGAAAATTGTTGCTAAAAGTTCCTAAAAGTCGCCTCCATTGAAGTTGTCTTCTGAAGGAGCTTTTCTATCAAATGTGTGCAGCTAGGGAACTGTCGCGTTCGCACTTTCGGAAATTTTATGACCCCCCTCCCATCTTCCTACCCCCCTTTCCCTCAGCCCCCCACGCCCGACCACCATCCTAACCACATTGCCGTTTCCACGGTATGTATTCGGTTCCGAGTCCAGTTGACACCCTTCAATTCCGCTCACTTTCCCCCTCCGGAAAGGCCGTCGAGGTGTAACTATGTCTCAAGAAACAGCAAAACCTCTGGTTTTTGTTCATTTTGAGCATACTTTTCGAAAGGTACCGTCAAAATCGTCAAAAAAAAACGTTAAGACAACCCCCTTCCGCAAGTACGACCCATTCAATCCACTGTTACAACCCTCGTTCGCACTTTTAAAAACATGGTCTACCTTGGTCACCCAAGTGATGATCACCACTTCTAAAATTGCGAACACGGCCTTACTCCACCACCTGTTCGCATATATCGTAGAAGGTGTTCACCCTGGTGGCAAGTATTTCCGCTGAATTCCCAGAGACGACACGAAAGAGTTGTAAGAAGAAATTGAAGTCTTAGTCAAACAAAGTCGTTCTATTTGTTACTCGACCAACTCATCTGCCGTGCTGTAGATCCAGTAGGGTTTTAATTGGAAATTACCTGAGAATTACCTGAGAATGGTTGTGCAAAGGGGAGCGGGAGCGTGGATTGGTCAAAAAATGTCACCCGCTCATTGAAGATATCAGCGGCGCTTACGCAGCACAATGTAACAAGCTAAACTGGTACTGTGAAGACTTTCTCTAGACTACTCGAGTCCTTGATTTATCAGAATTTGTCAAACCGGCGCACAGTGGATTCCAGAGCTCTCGATGACCAATTTATGGAATTACCCAAAAAGTTACGAATCAGGAGGCTGGGCACCGTTGTCATGCTGTAGTAGGTGCATGCGGATGCTCGCGAGCAGGCCAAGGCAGGTCTCAATTGGCTTGCTTCGTGCGATCTGTACGAGGAGTATTGTGCTCTACTATTACGGGAGTTACGCGGTGATTCGCTTTGACATCGTTTTCCGTTGCCCGACATTGGCTTCAATGTCGTGTTGACAGTAGAGGCTTTATTTCTGGTCGCTATAAAAAAAAAGTTCAGGACGTTCTGGCCTTTGGAACTCAGACCTAGACTTGCGCCCAGGTTAATAATGTACGTCATGAGTGAGGCAAATTTTCCGTAACTTTCTTATTAATTCTGGAAAAGTACGCCCCGATGAGTTCCAGATGAATAGTACTTAGTGGATAGGATTGTAACGTGACTCCCATTCCTAAAGAGCGGGAAGGTCGCTAGTCGCTTTCTCATTCCCATCGTTCAGGTGCCTACGCCGTCTCTGCTCTCTCGTCCTATCGTCTTTTCTCCGCAGTCAGTATCTCATCACCTTCCACTGCTGAATTACGAAAATGAGTAAGTTTT